AAATTTGCCGAAAACGATACAAACTAAACTTGTACTACTTTCGCATGTTCAGGTGCTTTTTGCATCCACGAGCGGGTGGGACTGGAAATTAGGCAGAAAGATGAAAGCTGAAAACAACTAACCGTTCCACACTCGAAGACGGTAGAAGGAAGTGGTCCATGCAGCTAATGAAACGAGCAGAAGTTGGTTCGGGACTTGCATAATTCTGGCAATAATACGTGGCGACCATGCGTCCCGATGCCAAGACGCATGTTTTTGGCTCGCTGGAGTATTTATATTGTTTATCACGTGTATGTTTTCATGTATCAGCTGAGCTCACAGCCTTCTAAAGAATTTTGAAGCCTTGCGGTCCAGAAATGATTAATTTCTAGCTACAGATATAAGAGAAAATGAGGACTAATGAAAGGACAATATACAAGTGTGGTCGCCAATGGGTTAAAGCCCAACAAAACCATGAACAGCTGCATCCGTACCACTACTACTAACCAATCCTACTCAGGAGAATGAGCAGCAGTCACCCAAACCTGGACCGATTTCCCATTCCATCACCCAAGCCAATCAGCGATAATGGAGTCTCATAAGTTTTTTGGCATTAATCGACCCCGACTGAGGGACGCGCCCTCTCATTCGACTTCCATTCAGAATCGTAATGGCGCATTGAATGCGTATTCAGCCTATACAATAATTTACGGTTGTTATCCGACGTACAAGACATCCACCCTAACGAGTTTGATTCTGATCGAGCGACCCCATAGGGATGGGAGGCTGCTGGGCCAATGGGAATATCGGTGAGGGATCAGGACCCATGCTCGTGTGTGTGTGTTGAAGTACGCCACTTGCCTACACTACCTCACCCTATCGATACCAAGATACTAGAAAAAAATATTGCAAGGGATAAAATGTAGAGACACTAAAACGTCTATACACTTCTCAATGAATAAGGAATGCATGGCGTATCTCGAAATGGATCACGTACTATGGGCTCGAAAGCGAATTTTTCGGATATGACAAGCGGCACACTTGCGCAGCAGAATAGGAAATGGATTAGTGAGTACCTTATAACTGCGAGAACATTCCTTTCCTGACCTAATGGCATAAATGAATTGTCCTCGACTCTTGTAGCTAAGTAAGGGATGACAGAGATGGATGATCAAAGCGGTTTGACAGAACTGGATTTTCTGGAAAGTTAATCTGTTGTTTTAAAGCTATTTATTACTTTTTCTATAGCTCTCGCGACATAGGACGAGTTTCACTTTACAGCTCTACTGACACGTTCCAAAAAGAGCAAAAAATGAAATGACAAACTACTTTAGAAACAGCCGGTAAACTCGTCGACACATGCCCTTTTTGCGAGCTGGCTTGATCCTGTAGGTTTCGAAAACTTGCCAAATTTCCACTTATTTACATCCAAGATTTGACTCGAGCCGATAATTCCCAACATAAATTCCATGTGTATGACCACTGTCTGATCCTAACCTTCTGAGATGATTTTTCCCTCAGAGAGAGTGGAAATATTGTTTTTTTTCCTGGTAGTCGCTCAGCTTACCTCGGATCCAATCCAGAAAATCCAGGTGCTTCAGTTTCAGTGTAAAGAATCAGATTCGGAAAGAACGATTATAATCAAAAACCGCACTAATCGTTGTTGCTTCTTTGTCTCCTCCGACGAGAACTCGTTTCAGGCGTTTTAGCTTGCTAGCCTGATCACTCAAAGTTATTAGAAAACCTCATTCCCCCCTGCGTTCCATGCATGATTCCGTCTGCATTGTTCACTCCTATTTCTTCAATACGTCTGATCGACGGATTTCGTATAAATTTGGTTGACCGGAGGATGACTTTCTTCATAGACCACCTTCTCCAGAAAATCCTACCTTTACTCAGCCATCGTTCTGTGGGCATGAGGGCTCGAAGCGTGCAGGTTCTTCCATCAGCCCCAGTCCCAATCACGGTCCATCGTAGCGCGTCACGGCACTATACCAAGCAATCCTACTTTGAGCTGTTCAGTAGCCACCATCCACCGTACTTAAGTCGCATTTCCAACCTTTTACAACCAGTACCTTCTCAAAGCACTTCAGATCTATTTCCGTCCACAGTTAGTTCTTTTACTACTTCTGGCACATGCGGTCGGCTCCGCCCATTGGCCTTGGTATTGTAACTTTCGAGAAGTTACAGTTCCTCAAGATTGTATCGCCATCTGCTTTTACTTCTCATTTTCACTTGCTCTCCAAGACTACGCTTCTTGAATTTCCTCCATTCTGATTTCACCTTAACCTTCTATCTCTACCAACTAAGAAAATTGTGCGACAAGTACAACTGAAGGTTAGATTACTAGGAACAATTTTGGAGGAAATTGTGTTTAATAAGTTGCAGGGAAGGAAATGGTTGTTAATAACTCCTGCATTAGTGATGGGATTATGATCTCCAGTAGTAAATGCAAAACTGCCCAGTAGTCCGAAACAGAAAGTCTTCCCAAAAGTGAAGGGATTGAAGCTTCCACAGCCCGTTTCCTGCTCAGCACCACTTAAACGACTGTTGAATGGTCGAACGATAAATCCCTAGTTAAGAAGTTACGAGGAAAGAGAGGCTCTCACTGGAAATTCGAGAGCCTTTCGTTCAGCTCCAAATGCGACTAACTAAGTGGTGATTGTGAGAAGTTTGATTAATAAGTCGACTTCGTCTACGGAGGGGTCATAAGGGGGATAAGTGAGCGTGCGTTCTGTTATGCTATGAAAACGCGTATTTTCCCAATACGACGAGTATCACCAATGCTATTGTCAGAAGCACCCGATTCTCTTCAGGGCTAGTCTTCCCACGAGAAAGTACAGTATAGGGTCCATCCAATTTGGGCGATTTTTCGCTCGGATGTGACAGCTCACACCGAAAAACGAAAGTGCATTGACCAAGAGGTACCGGTGACTGAGCCAGATACAGTGCACCACGTCATAGAGCAATCGGAATTTACAGAGACAATTTCGAAAATCCAAAAAATCAAAGCCTTATTAGCTTTCTCAGAGAATCTCAACGCATCCATAACTTTGTGTCTGCCATCTTCCGGTTCTGGGGGATGAAAAACCAGAGTGTTTCTTTTACCGGGGGAACTTAGGTGAAAGTCATCACCAGCACATCATTCGTCTCCTCTACGCCTACCAGTTCACTTATTTGATCCAATATGTTAGCTAATCTAATAAGATCACTACAAAATCAGTTTTCGCTAGTATTGTGTGTGTTATTAGGAAGGAAAGAGCTAAACATCGGAACTGAAGCTGGAGGAAAATCAACAAAGTTTGAATTTCCTAAATTTCCCACTGTTTGTTTTGTGCTTGTGTTCCTGGTTCTGCTACATGTTCTATTTTGGTACATCACGATAATCCTTTTGTATTCAGCGTATTCAACTTACATTAGCGGCCGTAAACCCGATGTGTGAAGCCCTTTCAAACCCTTAGTTTGATATGAGCGGAAGCCGGTCGCGTGGCGCATTCCGGAACTGTCATATGATCCACAAGTCTACCACTTCAGTCGAGTGCACATCACAAGCTATTGTATGCTGCATCGAAGCACTGATATCAAGCCACACTATTCCCTGAGAATGAGCTAATCACCCGAGGTTGGATGCTGGAACTCGTCCAGAAATTTTCAACCCAAGGCGAGCACATTAAGTACTGTGAGTGGTTAGTTTTGACCAAAATGAACCCAATTATCAACCGATGATTCCCCCGCTGGAATCAGAAAGGAAGATGCTAGTGTTGTCTGGAAGGAATTTAAGTAAGCCGTGTACCCCACTCCTATTTACAATCACAATGAAATTGGAATGCCATCTACGTTCGACTCATAGAACCTTTTAAAGTTTAGGGTTCTAAAGGGTCCTCCACTCATCATTGAGATATAAGGAGCCTTGCTACCTGACCGTAATGTTCTTAGTGCAAATATACTGCACCGTTGAATATCAAAGTGACGGCTGAGCTGATTGATGTCTCTGAAGGTTGGTCTTGAAATCACCCAAACCGCTGCCGATAAACTAGTTAAACGTTTTGTTGTAGGCGACCTTGAAATGCCGTTTTCTTATAACACTATTCTGTTTACGCGATAGAAAAAACTACTAATTGCCGTTATAAAAGTGGTTTCGTCTTTCTCGCCTTCACTTTTCGCATTTCAAGGTTTTTCACAAAACTTCATCGTCTAGTATTATCACATTTTATCGAAGTTAGTGAGAAGTTTCACTGTCTTTCTGTCCAGAACAGGAACCAAACTATCAAGATTGCATTTTTAATCCTAGGTGATTCGTAGAAGTAACAAAGACACCTAGAAGTCCTCAATTCTAAATGGATACTAGTCGAAGGCATTTAATGTTGACTCTCTCGAGATGCGCCAAGCACTCGAATTCTTTTCCAAATCGCGGTGTCATAGGGGATGGCACCTCCAACCACTAGAAAGACTCCCAGACGCACTGATCCCTACACTCAAACGGTTGGTTTCTGGCCATTCAAAAGTGCTCCAGAGTGCTTATCCCACTCCCTTCTCACTAGGATAACTTCTTTGCTATCTTTCTCCATTCGTGTAAATGTGTAATCGTTCTCGAGAACTGAATATAACCTCTATAAAACGTTGCCGTTCAAAAAAGTCTTTTAAATATGCATAGAAAGCAATTTAGGTAGTCTAACATATAAACTTGAATCAAGAAAAAAGCTCATAATACAGCAATCTCTCCAAATACCATACGTAACAGAAAAAGGGCTTTCATGTGTACATGCCTGCTTTGGATTGCACTTATGATTTTCTTTTGAGAACGTCGAGGTACGAGGTAATCAAACCAATAAAGCAGAATATCCAACCCGTCAAATGTTCCAAGAACCTCTTTCAGTGGAGGCGAAGAAAGACAGACTTGTTGGATGATTCTTTGGTTACCGCGTGCCAATCGTCACAGTGTGAGCGATTTATCTAGGACAAGGCCTATAGGCCGTTTGGGGATTCTTATGGCACCATATTCAGGTTTTACCNCACCGAGAATGATGGAATCTTCCACGGGGCGCCCCAACCAGATGTCGTCTTCAAAGAACGAACTTCTTCTTGCAGGGCATCATTCGGAACGACTACTTTTTATACCGCAGTTCCATCTAGGAATCTCAGCGGGAAAACAGGTGAAAAATAATACAGCAACCTACAAGAAGTCAAAGGACGGCAGTGGAAGTGTCAGCTTTTTTGTTATTACCGAGACCCGTTCCCAGAAGCTTGACGGGGAAATCGATGATTATCGTTGGTAGGTAGATGACTTATTTGCCTACTACAGCCATTGAGACGAAGGTCCCTCGGATAAGTCACACACAGATCACTATGCCCAAATAAAGCACATACTGGATTGATAGATTGAAGATCAACTCGTTCTCTAATCCAGTGTATACTCTAGAAGTTGTAACTCATCAGCCCCAACAGTCTCTTCGCTACCGTAACTTCAGTGGATCCGGCGAAAGGTGTTAAGATGAGCCCAAGAAATGGGTACAGTCACAGCTCAAGCTTTCGTTGAGGTCTAGGAAATGACTTGGCGTTCGTGATGTATCAATGTAACGCTCATGACACTTATCCTTTCTGAATTACGACACCGACGAGATGCAGATGAGACGGCATGAATCTTGCGTAACTGGAAGTCTCGTGAACATTCGTGGTGTGGACGTTTCAAGCAGACATTAAGCCGTTAAACTATGTTAAACAAGTCTTGCTTGATGGAAAAGCTTTACTATGTTGTCTCGTTCCAATCCCAATCGGCGCCACTTCCAAAACTCCTCTCTTGCTTGGAGCCTTTCCCGGAACTTCCTGAATGCCAAGAGCGCCGAATATCCTCTGTCAACTTGATCCCCATTGAATTAATTCTGTAAGCCACCATTCCAAAACTTGGACAAACCTCGTGTATTACACATCATCTCAAAACTCCTCAAAGCTACTTCCACGAGTTCTCGGGACCAGTGACGGACGTCACTTATTTCTGGATGTTTCCAAGCAGTGATCATATCAGCCAAAATGGTTGGAAGGTCGTAGCTCCGTGAATGAAGAATCCCTTTGTGTCCATTCCCGTTGACTTCAGCGGCTTCATTACTCATTCATCTGCGTATGATTGCTTTCCGCGACTCCTTCCACTTTTCCAGATTGTGAATATATCCTTTCTCTTTCTTCTTTGTTGGACTTTCCTTGGCTAATATGTGTTCTGCGTTAAACCCAGAAAAATAAAATCACTGATAACAGATCTGGCAGTTTGCTTGGGAGCGACTGATACTCCTGAAGTAATTCACTGAATTATCCAACAACATCATGAGCATTTTCGGGACAGTTCGAGTGGTATTAGATCGTCATCCTTGTTATGATTCCTTTTTCCGTTGGTACTGTTGATAACCCTATTCTTGTAGATGTGGCTCCTCTACTTGGCGTTGACGGTGAGCTGCGCTGGTTTCTCCTCAGAGCAGGCACATGTACCCGAGAACACCTTCGAGACGTGTACAACGAAGCTGGACCGAGGCGATGCGTGTTGTGCTATGCCGAACAATTCGATCCGAGTAAGTTTACTGAATTTTAGGATCTAGTAAAAAAAGCACAAATAAAGATATCCTCATTGCTTCCTATAATAATATCTCGAGTGGTTCCCCGTAGACATCGGGTCAGTGCACCCTGTTCTTAGGCTCGACGAAAGCAGAATCTTTCATCACATCTCCCATATGGGAGATCTCAAGAGCTATGTTTTCTATGCCGATTGAGTAGTTCTTAGATGACTTCTTTCCGAGTTTCGGAGACAAAGAGTTGCATATTTTGTTGTGCCAAGCTTTGAAACGAAGCTTTGATTGAATAACAAAACCTTGGGTCATGATATACCGAGAAAAAACCAGCGAAAGTCGTCAAATTAGGGGTGGCTATATTTAGAAAACGTCTTTTTGAACTTATAATCATCGACAACTGCATTCTTTCCCAATGAAATTCTTCCAATTCCCAACAGTGAACCCAGAAGTGAATTGATGGAGTTTCGATTGAGAAGGTGCTACAAAGCTCATGTTGTGCCAAGTATGGACCACAAGTTGCACAGAACGTCGATGTCCTCTTCGCTGGGTATACTAAATGAAGTACCACATAAAGTGATCACTTGCGCTACGAAAAAGTTGCTCGCTTCCAAGCAGAACGACATATGACGTTTCCGCAATCGAAAATATTCAGGAAGGAAGTAAAACAACAAGAGAAGTAAGTACATATAACGAACGCAATTATCCCATTCTGGTCTTTTTTTTCAAAGTCGACTTCAGAGACCCTTTACAATTGACACCGATATCGGAACCATCACCGCTGAACACATACCAATGAAATTTTACCTCCTTTCATTTTGCAAATTTAGCGGACTCGGAAAAATGGACAAATGCAGTAAAGGAATTCAAAAATATCCGAGAAGGAAGGAGAAGATGATAATTCCATGGGAGATAACGCACTAATTGCAAAGTCGGCAAAGTCGGTCTCCTGATGTGAAACCTTCCTAAAAAAGGGATATCGTAAGGTCGACACCTCAGCATGAGAGGTAACCTTCACTTGGAAAATGAGAATGCATCCAGATACCCAGCACTTTTCGCTCCTCCTAATGCATACCCAAATATCGGATACGGAAGTTGAGACTTCATACTGATTTGTTTAGCTTTTTGACTATCCAGATAGGCGAGGGAGAATTTGCAGAAGTTAATACTCATCTGCAAATCCGGCCGAACCCATAGACGAGTAGATGGAGTGGTGCATTCTTAGGTGGTATAGACTGACCTCGTCAAGGTCGGATGTTAAATTTCTTCGATGACAACGAGTATGCTCCCCATTCTGACAATCACTGTCCAATTTTTGGATACTTGACAGTAGTTCCTGACCCATACTTAGCCTTTGACACTTTTTTTCTATTCTGATAATGTAATCGATCTCCGAAGCTCTTGTTTCAGTTCTTTTTCGATCCCGAACTTGAGCGGTGCTTCACGTATCTCTACGAAGGATGCGGTGGTGGAAGAAATACATTCTATACAGAATCCCAATGCAGAAATACCTGTATTCCAGGTAGTATAATTGATCACGCTTTATTGGGCACCCTGGGTAGTTGTTCCGCATATCAAAAGGAATATTCGTTCGGATCTATCCTCAATATCAGCTTCCAGAAATAAGAATTTCAATGTCTGCAGAGTAAAGTGGATTAGCGGTAGTTGAGAGACTACTGCTGCGGGAATGGAGTGGGTGCCCGACAGGAGAACCTGATATTCATTTTCCTACCTTATTGACGACTCCCCTACCACCTTATTGACCACGGCAAGGTGATGGGTTACTAGTCTGAGCGAGTGTAAATGCAGACTCTGACTCTCGAAGGTTCAAGAGGAAGCTCTGCCCAAAATATTAATATTCAAAAAATTGCTCATATAAATCTGGAGGATTTACAGCTGACAAGTTTACCTGCGGAGGAAACAAGAAACCAACAGGAACCTGTAGCGATAGGGACATGAGATGTCCGTTTGGTAGCACTTGTGTGATAGGAGCACTAGGAGTGGGACTATGCTGTGACAGTGCTAATGAAAGTAAGCCTTAAAGTCGCTTTGTTACCGTGGAGAAATCGACCAACATTTCCTTGTCATCGTGATAACTCATAGCTCATTTCAGGGCAATGGGAGTATGAAATTCGCCAACCACCCTGTCGTATAGGTAAAATACTAAAACGAACTGTATCTCACGGTGAGGAGGTGTGGATTGGTAAAAGCTGTGCTCACAGGTACCGGTTATGAGGTTACAAATTCATTTACAAAATCAATAGATCTATTATCACTCCCAGCGAAACGATACCTATCTTGCTCTACTTTGAGAAAATGTTTTTCAAACCTTCAGATTCTGCCCATACGGCTACGAATGCGTGCAAGGAAGACGTGTAGCGCACTGTTGTGGCCCAGTACCAAATTTCAAAGAAAGATTGTACATAGAAGACGATAGCTTCATTAAGCGTAACACATATTCAAGACCAAGGAAAGCTCGCCATGTTCCACAGATGAGGCTGCCAGTCGGCCAATTGGACGAATATCGTCGACGATATTATAACAAACTCTAGCTTAAAGCATAGTATGGTCTCTAGTTGTTGTAAAGTTTCAGAGAATAAAGTTTTCAGTAAACTGAGTATATCTCAGATTGCTGCCCATTCAAAAAAGTAAAGCAACTGTTGAAATAAATCATTCAATTTTAGCGCCTGACATCGGTTCTACCTCGAAGCGGACGACTTCAATTAAAGGAATCTTACAAACAGGAACAGAAGATGAGTCCGCACTCATTCGGACCCGCTCCCACAAGTTTACAAAGCTTGGTGTATTGGAGGACCGCATTTCGATTAACCCGATCAATCAATCATACTCATGGGCAGCATGGCTGCCCTTCAGGAACATTAGTATGGCAGTGGTATTGTCATCACTTACCGTATCTGCCCACCACAATTACGAACAGGTAAGGTAGGGAGTAGGTAAGCTATTGCGTCTTGCGTAGAGCGCCCACCACTTTCAGCGCCAGACAGCTCCCCCCACATCAGGTAGCCCTGCCCATTGTAGTTATCGTGCTAACATTCCACCAATCCTACCGAAACTTTTTTATTCCAGCTAATATTACTAGAGAAGACAGTTCTCCTTCTCTACGAAACCCCTCAAAGCCGACATCAGATCAGTAGCGATCCAACAACACGTAAACCCTACCAGATTCTCGAGAAAAGACTGCCCAAGAAGTTCGGATTTCCATAGTCTACTTTAGACGTGTACACTAGGCGTAGAAACCGGGCAGATCTGGGGATTCGCACTTTATGAGGCATATGATCCTGCCGTTTAAGGCTTTGGAAACATTGGTGCTGCGATCACACCACGGTCGATCCCAAGACGCTTTGAGTAGCGCAAAGTTGGTTGACCACGTTCTAGGTAGAAATGCGTCTTTAGTTTTGCTTAGCGAAGTGTTTATATCCACAAGAGACCCAACGTCCAGAATTAGCTAAACGACTTGGCTATGAGAAGGAATCTGCACCAATGTAATGGATATTCCAGAACATTTGTTATCGAGCAGGCTACATGATTATCCGCAGTTAGTGCAGATGATATGGAACTTACTCAATAATAAATTTTCTAATTATTCGGCACAGTGCCTGACTCTACTTACGACCTAGTCCCGTTATGGTACGAGAAAGACGGATATATCTTCCGTAACTCAGTATTGTTGCTCCTATGCTCATGAACTATCAATAAATGGCCAGCCAGTGTCGCGGCAATGGAGTGAGACGGTATAGTTGATGGTTCATGCTCGGTTGTAAAGTATGCCACGCATACTTATACCGCCCTTATATGGATGTATACAAGTTCATTTTATAAACATTCATTTGTGTCGGTTTGTTTCGGTGTATGTGTTGGTCCGTTAAATATAAAATATAAAATTAACATAAGTGGCTGTGGTTGTAATGAAGCATATGGTGGAGGAAATTAGCTACCGAGTGAAAAAGTGTAAGACTATACCGAACAAAGTTACTCTATAGTATGCATAATTAATACCGTACTCGCCCTGTTACTGTATGAAACACCTGAAATAGATATTCCTAAGAAAGAGTATAGCACGTGGACACTAACTTAACTGGATCAAAGATCTTCTACATAATTCAGCGTCCGACGGAAAAACTGGAAAAAGATGTTCGAGTTATAGCGGCTAGCAGCGAGTGATAAGGATGGCAAACAAATGGAACAGGTAAGCGGAAAACATAAATGGGGTTAAATCAGGGAGGTATAGATTGGGAGAGAAGGAGAAGAAGAAGCAAGGGGAGGGAATTACTTTGATGTTTCTCGAATTAGTCCAGGTGAGAGAATTAGGTAACTATAGGACAGAGTAGTATCCAATATCTCCCCAGTTCCATACTCAGTGCGCAATTGGGATTGTTCTCTTATGTGGTCTATTCGAAAGCGAGTAGAGGCTCCTAATTTCCTCCAACGCTCTGTATCGCTTTAGGGAGGGGAAAGAATGCTAGCAATGGGAGTTTGTCGGAATAACTTTTTATCTCAAACATTCCTTAAAGGAGCACAGGGAAAGAAGTAAGGCTCGCATTTTGGAACAACCAGATTACCAGAACTATTCCTTATTAGATGAGGAATGCTTATAGTACTATTGGCACCCATAATGCCGGCAGCAGAACGCTACGGGACAAAGCGAGATACGGAATGTTTGAATTGTGATAATCATCAAAAGTTTGATAATCAGGCTACGGAGGAAACAACTCAAGAAGTTGCGCAGCGCTGCCTTGTCAGTTAAGTTACATACTACCTATCTCACACCCTCATTTGACCATACACTTGCGCCAATGACGGCGTGAGATAGTTAGTATGTAACCCAACTGACAGCACTGATCGATTCCTTGAATAAGTCAGCGGTCGAAAAGTACTTGATTGAATAATCAATCATACGATCGAAGCTCCTTTTGAATTCCTGTTGGACACTGAAAAGAAGAGCTACAGTAGCTGGAACGAAAGACTCCGTCTACCCTAAGACAGCGGTATCTATACTCCAAAAAGGAGGTGGCTTAAATTTCAGACCAGTTCCAGTAGCGATGATTTGCAGTTCGAAGGGAATTTACGGAATTTCACCATCTGGGATCTTGGCCGAGGCGCTGATCGAATGTCAAAGGTTTCCCTGCTGTGCTTAATTGTAGTCGTGGCTAATAGTCATGACAGGTATTATTCCATCGAAACCTTAAAGGCACAGTTCACGATAAAAATGCTTTCTGAGATTCTCCCACAGGATGAATTTGTGGCCCCGCTTATACTACATCTGGCACTATTAGCTCAGAAAACGGCCTAGTTGGGGAGTTATAAAGGCTCAAATATTGGCCAGTGTGTATAATCGGACGAGTTTCACCGGCATTGTAGAGGCTGCACCGATCGCAAGGGAACCTATATAGTAAGTTCGAACAGCTTTTCATCACCCATAACGACAGTGAAATACAGTTCTGCTCAGTTCTGGCTTGTTGTAGTCAGTTTTTTGTGCAATAACAATAACTGAAATCTCGTCCGAATACCCCTTCCATGTTATTTCCGTCATGGCAATCTCGTCCAACCTTTAATTTCCCTACTTTTGAGGAGCCATATTTTTCTCGTAATCGGCGAATTTTCTCGCTTTCTTAACTACCGATGAACTAATCCCAATCCATACTTCCGCTTTTCGCGTGAAAACGGGTACCTCAAAATTATAGTGAAATGTGCCTCTAATGCTTTCGTTAGAAGCGTAGCTAGTTACGAAGAAAAAGCAGCCAAGTTTCACGAACTCATAGGTAAGATCGAGTAAGGTGCATATGAAGTTGCTAAGTACAGGTAGTGCATACCTAGGACGAGGGTTAACGTCAAAATAAATTCTCATCATCATGTAGTTGAGCTCCGTACGAAGAAAATGCTAGTTATTCGAAGAAATTGTGAGCAGTGGTTGTAATTAGCTCGTTCCAAAAAAGGGTCACAGCTCAAAAATATCTCAACTACCTCTCAAAGACCCAAGAAAAAAACCTCTATAGCTAGCTCTCCCATCCCTCTTCTACCGGCATCAATCCGTCATTGATATTCAAAGCTCTGTTGCATTTTTTAGTAATTTTTCGTTGTCATATCAATCCGTATCATACCGTATTGCTCGTACGCGCATTCCGTGTCTTGCCATTCCAAAAACAGCGGTCGATGCTTCTATCAACTAATCTTTATACTTTCAACAGATGTACCTCTACTTGGCGTTAACGCTCAGCTTTGCCATGCTCAGCTCGGCTGCCGTATTCAGACTACCTGCACATGTGCCCGAGAACACTTATGAGACATGCTCGCTGAAACTGGATCGAGGTGATGGGTGTTGCCCCAAGCCGAACAATACAATCAGGGTGAGCTGTAACTCTTTAAACTGAGTTCCTTACCAAGGCAACGTGATGAATTGAAGAACAAACTAGCTTAACCCCCTGCCGGGGCCTCCAGGGTGCAAAGTAAAAAGGTCACCATCCAGGAGGGTAGACAGACAGGCTTCGCATCGGAGAAAAGGCAGTTGTTTTGCTGTGGAGCTCAACAGTGACAACCACTAGTACCGACCGGAAACTCATACGTCCAGAACCTCGATAGTTAATCTCTCTTGTATTGGGTCGACCAACTTGAGAGATTGTGACCCGTGCACCCTTTCAATAGCTTCTATGAGTTCACGATAATGAGGAGTGAAAAGCTTAGAATATTCCTTTTCACTATTCTCCTCCTGCTCGCCGGGTCTTTTGAAAATTCTGGTGCTATTAGTTATA